TAATTAGAACAATTGAACATAAAAATTGAGAAAATTACACTTATAAATAATTGAATTAAGGGAGACTACGTGCTTACCTAGTAATGTTGCGGCAGCGGGGAGAGGGTGTGGCATCGTAGTGCGGCGGATGCAATAGGGAGAGTGACAGAGAGACAGAGAAACAGAGAGATTGCGAGAGAGGGGTAGAGGATTGAGATAGTGAGTCTGAGATAGAGAGAATGCGAGAGAAGGAGAGACGAGCTTGAGAGAATCGAGAGAGAGAGGAGCCCAAATTTGAGTGAGTCTAAGATAGAATCGAGAGAGAGATTGAGTGAGTCTGAGATAGAGAGAGAGAGAGAGAGAGAGAGAGATTGAGTGAGTTTGAGATATATATATATATATAGAGAGAGAGAGAGAGAGAGAGAGAGAGATTGAGTGAGTTTGAGATATATATAGAAAGAGAGAGAGAGAGAGAGTTAAGGCGCCGAAAAAAAAACGCGCCCAATTTTGGCAAAAAAATTAAATTTTTACATGTTTGCACGACAAAGTTGTTAAACTTTTGTTGTGCCACTAGTTAAAAAATGAATTTTTTAATATTTGTGCAACAAAAAAATTATAAAACGTCGTCGCACATAACTGTAAATTTAATTTATTTTTTGGTTTAAATAAATAAATATTTTTTTTTTAATTAATTTTGTTACAAATTTAAAGGAAACTTTTTTTTGTATACAACATTTTTAAATACCATTCAATACATATCATTACATTGGCAACACAATTTTTCATTAATCCTCGTCTGAACTAGACTAAAGATCATCACTATCGTCAGATTCAGACTCCCATTCCTCTTCGTCTGAAGGCACATCAACATCGTCGTTCACGCGCTCGGGTGCATTGTATCGTGGTAGATACCCGAGGTCAATCATAATGGAGTTGATCGATATTTCGATTTCCGGACCTCCAGCCACCTGATACGATTCTTGTACAATTATCATATCCCATAGTGTATCTGCACCAAGTGTCGTTGAAGTCTCCAATTGTTGGTCAGCAACGTCACCATAATCGTCATCGGCAATAGGATCTCAGTTCAGAATATCATACAACCCTCTGTGCTCAATCTTCTGAACTACTTTTCATCCCCTCCCGCCCTTAGGGTCATCTATATAGAAAATTTGTTTAGCCATTGTTGCCAAAATGTAGGGGTCGTCGTTATACCAACATTTATTAGTGTTGATCGATAGCAAACCATCGTCTCGCTTAGCAACTCCAACCCCGATGTGGGTTTGTATCAAACCAGCAACACTTAAAGAAGATAACTTGACACCGGTCTTTGTAAAGCAATTGCACAACACTTGTCAGTTTTTCATAGAAATCAATTTCTGCAATGTCTGCAATGTCTCCCGTACCCGGGACATGTACCCCACTATTATGCGTCAAAGCTTGTCATCACAACCAGCTGCCAAAAACTTGATGCCATTTACATGACAACCGGAGTACAATTCTGTGCTTAGGGTCCAATCGCCAAGTTGTACAATTCTTTAGTGTAAGCAGGTGAATTCATTTCCTTCAATTTCTTCACCTGAATAAATGAGAAAAAGTTGTCATGTTAGTTTAACATTTACAATTATGCAAATAACCCAAAACACGAACAACTCACATTATCACGAAACCATTGAGGAAATAATTCACGATGGTTTTTGGCATATAAATGTGAAGGATGTTCACGCTCCATCAACTCTTCATGCTCATCTAGGTAGGTAATTGTCTCGTCACAATTGTTAAGTACAAACCAATGTGCTACCTCCATGTCCATTTTGTCAAACGACTCCCCTCTGATTCGTTCACCAAAGGGTCGTGCAATTTAGGTAAAAATAGACAGTTTTTCACTTCTCACACCACCGTCATTATTATGTTGTTGTCGATTGAATGTAGTCTCAACATCTTGTAGGTACATTGCACAAAATGTAAGCGACTCAAATCCGACTCACACCTCCATGATTGATCTTTCGAGCTTTGCCCTATTTCATACACTCTTTTTTAATTCACCCAGTAGTCTGCATCAATAAACAAATTATCGTATAAAATTAGTCAAATTGTACATACATCACGAACTAAAGTATTTATGACGATTATGTACCTTTCTATCGGATACATCCATCAATAGTTAACAGGTCCTGCTAAAAGTGCCTTATCCAGCAAGTGAATCATCACATGGATCATGCTTATGAAGAAAGCTGGAGGAAATATTTGTTCAAACTTGCATACCATTTCAATAATATCGTCGCACAACTGGTTAACAATGGACTTGCGTAAAGATCTTGCAATTAATTGAGAAAATTATCTAGCCAACAACATAATCGGCTTTACCACGTCTTCGAGCAACAGGTGTCGAATTCCCATTGGAAGAACTCTTGAGGCCGGAAAATTTTCCTCCATCCACATTTGTGCAACGGCCGATGTTTGAAGCATACCCATCCAAAAACTTTACAGAAGATAGAAACTGCAAAAACTCTTTCCTCTTTTACAGTTCACTAAAAATGATGCGAGCTTCTTTCTGGCTATGTCTCTGTCCCTCGTCATCCATAAACTTGGCCTAATGACCATTTTTTTCAGATCGATCCGAGCTTTTATTGTGTCTTTTGTTTTTCCCTCGATGTCTAGTATAGTTTCGACCAGTGTATCAAACATATTTTTCTCAACATGAATTACATCGATGTTGTGTCATAATTTTAATTTGGACCAGTACAGGAGCTTGAACAACCTTGTCTTGTGTGTCCAATTTAGATGTGTGTCTAGTCTTGTCCTATTTACGGATTTGCCTAACAGAGCAAAATCCAACCGATTCATTTGATCCGAAATTTTATCGATGGACCTTTCTTTGGGTCTTGGCCAAAGCTTTGTGCTGTTGAAGAAAGCTGTCTTGTTCTGACGCCAGTCGTGGTCTCACGGCAACCATCTACGATGTCTTAGGTAACAAACATTTCCCACGTGCCAACTATACGTTGTGTCCTTTTTACAAACTAGGCAAGCGTAATAGCTCTTAATGCTCTACCCAGACATCAGAGTGTATGCAGGAAAATCGTTAATAGTCCACATCACGGCTGCTCTCAAAGTGAACATCTTCCCGGTAGATTTATCATATGTGGGAACACCGTTTTCCCACATAATTATTTTAGTTCATCGACCAATGGTTGTAAATACACATCAATACAAGTGCCCAGATCTTTTGGTTATCAACAACGTCATCATAATATTATTTTTTTTTCATGCACTTCTAAGGCGGCAAATTATATGGAATTATGAAGATTGGTCAAGTGTTGTGGTTTTGGTTTTGAACCCGAACAGATTAAACCCGTTTGTCGCAAGTCTCAATCTAACGTTCCGGGGCTCACGCACAAATTCGGGGTACAGCCAATCAAACTTTTTCCAGGCCTCTCCATTTACAGGATGCCTCATAACATCGTCATCCACTCATTTGTCCTTATGCCACCTCATGTCACTTGTAGTGTGCGTCGACATATACAATCGTTGCAACCTGGGCTTTAATGGGAGATAACGCATAACGTTTTGTAGAATCTTCATTCTTCTATTCTGAGAGATCATTTTAAACCGTGACTCGTTACATACATGTCATTTATCCAACGCTTTATTCTCTTTATAGAACAAAATGCAATTATTTTTACACGCGTGAATTGTTTCATATCCCAATCCAAGACCACTTAGCACCTTTTTTGCACTTTTATGATCTTTAGAAAGGCAATTGTCCTTTGGAAGCATCCTCTTGAAAACCCCCAAAAAGTAATCAAAACACTGGTTCGACATACAAAACTTTGTTTTGTCATGCATCAACTCAACAATGGCCGTGAGCATCGAAAATCATTCGCAACTGGGGTATATTCCTGCTTGGCACTTTTTAATAATTTTTTGTATTTTTTTAATGTTTCACTATTCATGGTGGGAGGGACGTCATCTTCTACTTCCACATTCGTATTCGAACTAGCGGTTGGAAAAGCATCATTGATAATGTCCATAATTTGGTCATTTGGCTCCACAACAGATTCAATTGTATCCACTGCTCGGTTTATGTGGGAGGATGAAGCATATTGTATTTGTTCTCCATGATGATTCCACGTAGTATATGTTTCCATCATCCCATTTCTGACTAAATGGTGTCGAACAATTTCAAAATATTCAATCATTAAGTTGTTACACTTTCTACAAGGACACATAATTTGAGTTGAAACGCAATTGTTTGCAATTGCAAAATCGATGAACTGATTTATTCCATCCAAATAATCATCAGCACATCTGTTAGGATTATGTATCCACTATTTGTCCATTTCACCTGCAAACAAAAAAAAATTGGGTAAATGACAAAAAACTACCTCAACTATTGGTCTCACGACACTATCATACCTCATCTTTTAAAATTGACAATGTCATACCTCATCTTACGAATTTGGTCCAATATCAAACCTTCGTTAGTTTTTCTGTTAATTTCTCTATTAAGTGCTGACGTGACTTGATACGGGACCCATTTCCTAGCCAAGTGGATAAAAATATTATTTAAATATTAATAAAATAAAAATAAATTATTTTTATATTTTTATTTTAAAAATGTGGGATCCACCCTCTATAATTATCTCCCTTTCTCCCCTTTTTCTTCCTGATCCGTTCCAAACCCCTCTATTGCCTCTCTCTTTTCTTTCTCTCTGGGCACCTGCATCCCCAAAATCCCAGAACCCCCTCCCTTTTATTCCTTTGTAATTCTCCCATTCAGCTGCTAACAACAATCACCCCTAACACCCACCTCTTCCTGTCCTCTACCTTTGTCCATCTTTCTATTCCAGACCCCCTCATTTTCAAAGATCTTCAACCCAAACCTTAACCCTAACCCTAATTTGCCAATTTCAAACAGAAAACCCCAATTCCCCCCAAACCGAATCCTCTAAACTCACCCAAGAATCAAAATACATGTGGGACCCACGCCCTACAATTCTCTCCCTTACTTCCCTTTTTCTTCATGATCTGAACCCATCTCTCACCCACATCTTCTGCACCAAATCCTCCTCCTCCGAGCCACCAAACGTTTCCCCACCCATCCCCCCAACCTTCCTCCACCACTTTCTCTCTCCTCTCTCTCTAGGCAAGTGCAATCTGCAATCTGCAATTTAAAACTTTAAAAAAAAGTAAGGCCGAAATCGGAGAGGTGAAAGAGAATGAGTCTTAGGGTTTAGGTGGAGGAGCTAGATGATAAAGAGGAAGAAGAGGAGCCGCACGTGGAGTTCTATGATGAGGAACCGGAGGGCTGGAAGTTGAGCTGTGCCCTGGAACCATAGAGGATGATGGCGGCTTGGCCATAGGCGCAGGCAGCATCATCGGCAGTGGCAAAGGTCCCCAGCCACTTGCGAGTACACTTACGCGGCTCGCGGATCTCAACTACCCATTTGCCCCAGCTCCACTGACACATGCCGTGGTACCTGAACTTGTTGTCAAGGCCTCATTTGCCTCTGCAAAAAAAAAAAAAAAAAAGGGTTTTTTTGGTCCAAATTTTTTTTAAATAAACAGGTGAAGAATGGATGAAGGAAGAAGGTGAAAAATGGAGGTGAAGAATGGATGAAGGTGAGGGTGAAGAATGAAGGTGAAAGTGAAGGTGAGAGAGATAGGAGAGAGATTGGATGTGAGAGAGATTGAACACATCAAGGGAGAAAGGGAAGAAAGGGAGGGTTGGAACGGATCAGGAAGAAAAAGGGGAGAAAGGGAAAGAATTATAGGGGGTAGGTCCCACATGTTTTAAAATAAAAATATTAAAATAATTTATTTTTAATTTATTAATATTTTTATCCACTTGGTTGGAAAATGGGTATCGTCTCAAGCCCAGTCAGCATTTAACAGAAAAATTAATAGACAAACTGACGGAGGTCTAACATTGGACCAAATCCGTAAGATGATGTATGACATTGTCAATTTTAAAAAATGAGGTATGATAATGTCGTAAAACCAATAGTTGAGGTAGTTTTATGTAATTTATCCAAAAAAATTTAGAAGGGTTACAACAACTTCAATTATGACATGCCACCTTATGCCTCCGGTATAGGTCCTATCTCATTCGAGAATGCACAGTTATGTGCTGTAATTTACGATTCCAACACATTAGAGTTTAAGCATGGGAAAATTTCACATCATCTCTTTGCAGTTCTTCAAGTGCACGATGTAGATACAAAAACTACGATGCACCCAAAGAAAGCAAAGCGATGCTACCACATTTCCCACGTTCAAACTCTAATGTGTGAATCGCTCAATACAACATGTAAATGTGCATTCTCAAACTGTCCAAAATTTTGGGACAATTCAAGAATTAATTGGACCATAGTCATGCTTTCGCATCCATTTGCGATATCCAACTAATTCTTAAATGAGAAACTAATCTCATATGAACATTGCAAACCATTATTTGCATACAAATACATAAACTCAACACCTATAAACTACATACAACACAATTTAAATGAATGAAAATTAAATAAGTTAGTTAAGAAAAATTATACCTCTGAGACTAACGACAATCCCGACGGCCATAGGAAATATTTCCAAGGGAAGGCAGCTGCTGCAATGCAAATGTTTTGCAGGTTCTGCCTTCCTGCGTTCTGGATAAGTTCAGTAAAGTGAAAGACTTTGCGTGACTAAAGCGTCGTCCAGCAAAGCGTTGTGCTTCAAATTTTTGGCGCCATACAACTACGTCTGGCCACATTTTGCCGCGTTTTTATAACATACTGCATGACGAACCATAGTTCGTTGCGCAATACATTTTTTTTTTTTAATAACGTTTTTTTTTTCATTCACTCTTCACATTTTTTCAAACCACCTAAATACTTAATAAATCAAGAACTTATTTGGTTATACCACTTGTACAAATTAAGTAATATACATATTTATTAAAATGCATTAATTTTATTAATATTAAACATTAAGTACATATTTAATTAACTCTTCATACTAAAAAAAACTTAAAATTCAAATGTAATCATTAAATAAGCAATAAAATTAAATAAAAAACCCTATTCTACTCATCCGCTGGTAGTTGTGGTTCTTGCTGTAGTTGTGCCGCGCGTTGATTATCAAACTTCCACTCTAGGAAACGCGACTTGAACATGTCGTCGATAGCATTCATCAGATTTGGGTCATTTTTGTCAATGTCCCAAATAGGCTGTCATGCAAAAATTAATAAATTAAAAACTCACTATTTTATTATATTTAACAAACATTATTATTTAACTAATAAAATTAACCCAAACAGCTAATCATGTGCATCTTTAGCTCCTCAGGACGGCTCTCCAAGGCTCCTAATTCGCAGCACATTTGGTATGCACCAATGCTCCAATGTCAGACGACAAGCTGGCACGCTGTTCTGATTTCATAACCCCTATTACTTCGTCAGCAGTGATTCGGTAATGGCTGCAACCATAAGTGTATCGGACTCGTACCGCAGAAAATTTCTTCTTGTCTATCCACAAAATATATTTTCATAAATAAAAAATTTATAAAAAATGCAAAATTTACAAAGCAAACCTTTTCCGGAACCTTTGCCATTTGTTGTCTTTGAAGAACGCGCACCACTGTCGACCATCGTACCAACAATCAAATAGCGAAATGATTATAATCTGCAAACAAATTATGCAGAAGCGTTTTCGAAATGAATTGTGATGAATAAGGAGAGCAGAAGTGCATATTTATTGCAATCTTAGGGACTTTGCACGACGTAGACTTTGTCGCTCAAAAGTCTGCACTAAATATGGTTTTGATTTCTTTGATTCTCTTGCACCAAATACGCTGACCTAAAACTGAACGGGATTTGCGTGATGAAGGTTTTGTCATGCAAGGTTTTGCACAGTGACAACCTTTAGTTATAATATTTATTCTAAAAAAGATTAAAACCTTAAATAAATTGATATTATATTCCATTCAATTATTGAAAAACCAAACAGGAATTAAGGCATAATTAAGTCCAAACACATAACATAAAAAATAAAATAAAACCTTAAATTTAAATATTGTCCTCAAAAATATAAATTTAAAACTACTATTTCGATGGTGCTCCATTCCGCTCGACGTCAAAACGCCACCGGTTGTAACCTCCCTCCAACGGTTGCCTCCATCAAGTTCATCAACTCTTCGTTCATATCATCATCAAGAGTATATTTACATTGTTATACATATATGCAAATTATTAATTCCAACGTATAATAAAAAAATTTCACAAAATTAATTATTAATCCATCAATAGTATACTTACTAATAATTCATCCATCACTGCCTTCTTCACATTCTCAAGCACGTCTTTCCAAGAACGCCACTGAGCAGTAGGACACTTATTCCCCATGGCTACAACAATCGCATGCGCGAACTTGAAATGTTGCCCCAAATCATATGGGTTGGAGGCGGTCACACTCTCATCCTTGTTTTTATCCCCTATCCCAGCACGAACATAATTGTTAAGAATATGGACAACAAAATTGTGAAGAATAAGGAGAGTAGAACCACATATTTATAGGAAGGTTAGGGCCTTTGGGCAACAAAGTCTTTGTCGAGCAAAGACCCTCACTAAATATAGTGTATATTTCTATTGATTCACATGCACTGAATGCTCTGACTCAAAACTGACTGAAACTTGCGCGATGAAGCCTTTGTCGCGCAAGTGTTCCTCGATTTCCCATACGTTGAATGCTTTACCCTAGAAACTAAACGAGCTTTGCGCGACGATGCCTTTGTCACACAATGGTTCCGTGGGAAAAACTTCGTCGCGCATTTATTTTCAAACCAAAAAAAAATCACCCACGGTTTTCTTACTGGCTTTGCACGACGAACATCTTTTTTTCGTCATGCAAAGGTTTTTGCGAGATGAAGTTCTCCGTCATGCAAAGTTCCCCAACCTTGTGCGATGAATTTTGCTTTGTCACGCAAGTAGTTTTTCCTACTAATGCCATTTGGGCCCATAAGCTACTCTTTTGCAGGAAACAATGTCACAAGTCCAACTCTTGCTGTGATACATGGAAATTGAGGTTTTACTATAAATCTAATTGGCAATATGGGGAGTAGCTCACTTACTTATAAGCCCATGCAATGTCTTTCTCCCAATAATGTGGGATTTAATCTCAACACGCCCCTTAACGTGTATAGAATTTTCAAGTTAAATAGGTAGACAACACAAATGAGGTGACGTGAAGCGCATGTGGGAATTGGGCTTCACATGTGGGACAACATGCTCTAATACCATGAAGAAGTTGAGGTTCCACCATAAAACCAATTGGTAGTATAGGGAGTAGAGCCTAACTACTTAGCCCATGCAAGGTGCATTTTTGCATCAATGTTGGATTTATTCTAAACATGTCCAAGGTGAGGGTACAAGTGTGATTTATTGGATTTTAATTCAACAATGCATTCAACAAATGTGGATTAAGTTAGTTTGTTATGGAAATGTGCACTTCACCATGTACTTGAGTTTGGGTCCTCCTTCTCGTACCTTAGAGAAGTTTAGATGGATTTCATACTCGTTGAAGTCGACAATATTTGAATTCTTATATGGATGAATAAATGCTTCTCACCATATATTGATGCACGAATTCAGGTGAACCTTGAGTCAATGTAAAGTGTGGTATAAAGACCTTCACGACGGTACTCCAATCAAAGGTAAAAGGGTGAAGCAACCTCCAAGAAAGGTAGAGTAAGTATCGAAGGGCACCGGTGTGGTACCAGCCTAAGAGTCTCTGATGCTTAAGTTAGCAAAGTATGTTTAAGGCGTACTGTGGGTGAGTATAGTGGTAATATAGTGATAAAGTGGTAATAGTGATTAACCTTTTGAATGGACTAAAAGTTACCCTTTTATAGAGGCAAAGTTGGAGAAGATTTCTTGAATTGGACAATGTGAGATTGAATGCACTTAATGTAGTGTTTCCACTTGTCTCATTGTGATTGGCCTCCAAGTTGGAGGGAAGTCTCCCATTTCGTTATGAGAGTAGCTACATTTCATGTTACTCACTTGTTGTGAGGTTATTTTATGTGCTTCAACAAGGGTGCCGAAGCAGAGACTCTTCGGAGGGTTCCTGAGGCTTCCTAGTTGACTGGTACTCGGTAGTTTCAAGGTCAATATAATATGGTACAAACAATCTATACTTTAACATATCATATTGTTAGACTGTTAATCAAACTTTCAAACTCAGACGCATTTTACTCAGTTAATAGTCATGATTAATTTAGTTTGATATCATGACACTATCCTATTTACATGAAAGAGACAAAATTTGTTGTGTATATATATATACAATCTGAGAGTTATTAGTATTTATCAAAGTTGTTCCTATCTAATGGAATTCTATTGGATCAAATGACAAAGACGTTTTTGAGAAAAAGTGAGTTGTACAAGTTAACAATAACATTGATTAAATGAAAGAAGGGCTCCGATGTATAGAGAGG